ACCAGTTGTTTTTATATTTTGTAGAATGCACTTCTGTATTCAAGATTCCAAATTCCTTAAAAGGAATAGTACAGTGTAAACTAACTGATAACTGTTTAGGACTCAGCTGTTGTGTGGGATTGAAATTCAAGCTTCCTTTTAATGGAGATGATGTAACCTTTAATATTCCATTCAGATTTAAACTGAGTCCTTGTGATTTTGAAATTGAGATCAGTTTTGGTTCATACTATCATAAAACAGTTCTTCTCAATTACGATTGGGGTAAGTTTTGAAATTGATATCATGTCAAATTTGAAAACATGAATATGATAAATATTTGAAAATCAAAATACATATTTAAGTCTCCCAAACGAAGTTTGGGAAGACTTATTGTTTTTGCTCAGTTCTTATTATTATTAAGTCTCCCAAACGAAGTTTGGGAAGACTGATTGTTTTTGCTCAGTTCTTATTATTATTATTCTTCTTCTTCTTCTTCTTCTTCTTCTTCTTCTTCTTCTTCTTCTTCTTCTTCTTCTTCTTCTTCTTCTTCTTCTTCTTCCTCTTCCGCCGCTTTTAAATTTGAACTTGTCCGCACCCGTTCTCCAAAACCGCTTGTCAGATTAACTTAGGGTTTCACAATATGTTAGACTAACATGTCTAGTGGTGCAATCAGGGTTTTGTTTGTGCAATGGGGTTTATAAAGGGGTACTTTGAGGGGCAAAAAGAAAAGAGGGTTTTACTATAGAACCCTATGGGATTTTATTTTTAAAAATTTTCAAATGATTATAAATTAAAAACCGTTTGTGATAGACACAATCTTTTTAATTGAAAATGTTCTAAATGATAAAGCCCATTAAATGAAATACAGGGTTAGTCCCCAGGGGTCACCCCCACCCCCTGCCATTTAAAAAAGTTCTAATATCTTGTAAATGGTCGAGATCCCCACCCCTAAACCATATATATTCTGGATTGTCATGATAAAGCACATCAAATGTAATACAGGGTTAGTCACCCCCACCCCATGCCATTTAAAAAAGTTCTAATATCTTGTAAGTGGTCAAGATCCCCACCCCTAAACCATATATATTCTGGTTTGTCATGCTAAGATGGTTTGAATGATATACAGGGTTAGTCCCTATGGGTCATCCCGACCCCCTGCCATTTGAGAAAGTTCTAATATCTTGTAAATGGTCGAGATCCCCACCCCTAAACCATATATATTCTGGTTTGTCATGATAAAGCACATCAAATGAAATACAGGGTTAGTCCCCAGGGGTCACCCCCACCCCATGCCATTTAAAAAAGTTCTAATATCTTGTAAGTGGTCAAGATCCCCACCCCTAAACCATATATATTCTGGTTTGTCATGATAAAGCACATCAAATGAAATACAGGGTTAGTCTCCAGGGGTCACCCCCACCCCATGCCATTTAAGAAAGTTCTAATATCTTGTAGGTGGTCAAGATCCCCACCCCTAAACCATATATATTCTGGTTTGTCATGCTAAGATGGTTTGAATGATATACAGGGTTAGTCCCCAGGGGTCATCCCGACCCCCTGCCATTTGAGAAAGTTCTAATATCTTGTAAATGGTCGAGATCCCCACCCCTAAACCATATATATTCTGGTTTGTCATGATAAAGCACATCAAATGATATACAGGGTTAGTCCCTAGGGGTCACCCCCACCCCCTGCCATTTAAGAAAGTTCTAATATCTTCTAAGTGGTCAAGATCCCCACCCCTAAACCATATATATTCTGGTTTGTCATGCGAAGATGGTTTGAATGATATACAGGGTTAGTCCCCAGGGGTCATCCCGACCCCCTGCCATTTGAGAAAGTTCTAATATCTTGTAAATGGTTGAGATCCCCCACCCCTAAACCATATATATTCCTATTTGTCATGTCTCGAACATTTGAATGACGTATACGGTCATTCCCCAGGGGTTCCCCCCACCCCCAATGTTCTAATATCTTGTAAATGGTTGAGATCCCCACCCTTAAACCATATATATTCCTGTTTGTCATGTAATGAACATTTGAATGACGTATAGGGCCAGTCCCCAGGGGTTCCTCCCCACCCCCAATGTTCTAGTATCTTGTAAATGGTCGAGATCCCCACCCCTAAACCATATATATTCTGGTTTGTCATGCCAAGATGATTTGAATGATATACAAGGTTGGTCCCCAGGCATCACTAATGCATATAACTTTACTGGACCAAACCAATTATCACTGGACGTTGCCCAATGTCAGGCGACCCTGGGAATTACGAATTATGGGAGCTTCGTTTGGGAGACTTCGTAACAGCATCCTGTTACAATCATTTCTTGTTTAATAATGAACCATATATAAGTTTGAAATTGACCTAGAAATATGTAAAAACATATGTTTAGATAGCTCTGCTAGAATTCAAATGAAACTGACCAGTTGAAGCATTGTAAAGGGCGTAAAACATCAGCACATAGAAAGCATTACACTGAAAAAGTTAAAAAAACATCAACTGCAGTGTTCAACCTCATAAAGTCAACAAATTTTTACACCCAGTGGTCCGAGTACACAGTTATCGTCCTTTGATTTTCGTTGTCCACGAATAAAGTCCCTAGTGTGGACAGTGTGTTGCTTGCCAATTTTTTTAGTACCCCTTCCAAATGTATTTCTTCATGTTTTATGCCTCAAATAGCAAGTAGGGGGATGAAATTACACTGTAAAAAAATTTGGGTCATGAATTGTAAAGTAAAGTAGTGATTTGGTCCAGCTGAAAAAGGTTAAAAATTAGCACTTCGGAAGCTGTCAAAAGATTTCAAGACCCCCTTAACATAGAATTGTCCATATTTTGAGTTAGAGCCGATGAAGTTTTCTATAATTTTGATATAATTTGTCCCAAAAGTAGTACAACACACTGTAAAAATATTATTGAGAAAGCGCAGGTGGGATTTTTTTTATTTTCATTTATTGTCTAAAAGAAATGCACTACGAAATAACTGTGTACTCGGACCTAAGAGGCGAAATCAGTAAATATTGAATCTGTACTTTGGCAACTTCCCTGAATGATTTAATGGTGTCAATTTGTCAAATAGCATGAAACTAAAGGATTTAAACTTTTATTTGATAGAAATTCTGCAAAAATTACCCATTTTGGCATTATATGGTCAAAATAAGCATTTCAAAGCTTTTTCAATTTTGATGCATAAGTGGCATTCTGACTTTCTATGTGACAGGTTTTCCTGTGTCAATATTTGTGTTTCTATGCTTTAACCCAGTTGTATTACTCATTTGTGAACTCTGAATCTACAGAAAATAAGATTATCTCAGACAATATGTGCAAAATGTTTTGTATAAATGACCCTCGTCTAACGGCCTGTTTGGATCAAGTTAAATGTGAGGACCTTGGTACATAAAAGTTGAAGTCCATAATAAAGATTTCACTAAATTTGTATTAAAAGCACTTCACAATGTCTTTTGTACCTGTTTCATTTCACATAGTATCTTTCTTTTCTTATGTTAAATAGCAAGTGGTTCAAATATAAGCCTGTTGAGGCTAAAATTGCATGCAAATTTTTCACTAAAAAGTGAAAAATCTTTGTATCAGACCATACTGTCTGCAAAAAAAGTTGAATGCAGGAGTCCTTTTATGCTCAGATTTATTGTATCATGTAACCTGAGTATAGAAATTATAAAAAAGACACAAATTTTTATTTCCTATAGCTTCAGTATGCATTTTTAAATGTAAATATGTGCTACGGCCTAAATTGACCCTAAATTATTTTCAGTCTTACTTGGCTTAAGACCCTTTTATACTAATATGGTATGCTATTTGTAATTTTTCTTTCCATTTAAAGTACATTTAATACATATGTAAGGATTATTTATAACCAAAAAACTCCACAAATTTAAAATTGCTGGAAAATAATACATCTTCATGTAAGGCCCCCCTTCATTGGAAAACCTCCATTTTTTGGCACAGGCTCATATAAATTTGACTTTTAAATAATTGTGATAAGTCTGATAAATCAAATGAGTATTCTATTGCTTTAAATACATAAAATGTCATATATTAAGGCATTTAAAATGTATTTTTTTGCAATATTTTAATTTTTAAAGCCCCAAATGTTGATAGTTGAAATTTTTCAATTTTAACGTCAAAATTTAACACGCGAAGTTGAATATAGAATTTATCATATTGTCTATAATATATATCCTATTGCCATGAAACTTTGTCAGCAGTCTCATAATTTATTAAGCTTTGGTCATACCAAGTTTTATTAAGATTGGTCAAATTTTTCTATCCTATTAGGTCCGAGTACACAGTTATCGTCCTTTGATTTTCGTTGTCCACGAATAAAGTCCCTAGTGTGGACAGTGTGTTGCTTGCCAATTTTTTTAGTACCCCTTCCAAATGTATTTCTTCATGTTTTATGCCTCAAATAGCAAGTAGGGGGATGAAATTACACTGTAAAAAAATTTGGGTCATGAATTGTAAAGTAAAGTAGTGATTTGGTCCAGCTGAAAAAGGTTAAAAATTAGCACTTCGGAAGCTGTCAAAAGATTTCAAGACCCCCTTAACATAGAATTGTCCATATTTTGAGTTAGAGCCGATGAAGTTTTCTATAATTTTGATATAATTTGTCCCAAAAGTAGTACAACACACTGTAAAAATATTATTGAGAAAGCGCAGGTGGGATTTTTTTTATTTTCATTTATTGTCTAAAAGAAATGCACTACGAAATAACTGTGTACTCGGACCCAGTGATACATGCACCCTTAAAATGTCTTGGGCATTAGTTTTGCCAATGTCCATCATTTTGTGGCATGATGGTTTTTATTCAGACTTTGGTTAGTTACTCTGTTAAAAGTTGTAAAGTAAACAGCTTCAAAGTTATTTGAAAGTATATTTTCCTTAATATACTTTTATTGATTAATGGCACTTGTAAACATAATTTTTGCTTCTTTAAGAAGCATTCCAAAATACAAAATATAATTTGGGTTATATGAGCAAAATTAATATTTTCAACTTTTAGGAGTAGAAAATCAGCTGCCAATTGGAATAGGTGACATTGCTCCTATTATAATAAGGTAAGGTTATCAATGAACATTAAACATATTGGTCTATAAAATGCTGCAATGCTAGGTACTTAGATTGATTGATTGATTGATTGGTGTTTAATGTCACTTTCAACACTAGTGTACTATTTCGTGGCGGTCAGTTTTTATTGGTGGAGGAAGCCAGAGTGCCCAGAGAGATCCATCGACCTTTGGTAGGACGACTGACAATCCTAGTCAACTAAGATTGGAGTCGAGTGCACCTGCCCCGTGCGGGATTCAAGGTACTTCGAAGAATGATCATGATGTATATGTTCATTGAGTAATACATAGGTTAAATACAAAACACTTCTGATTCATTTATTTACGTGGATTGAGAAAAATTGTATTCTCATGGATAATTGATTTTGTGGATTTGCTTCAGTCTGCATACAAGTCCTTGGAAAATTTCTACTTTGTTGAACATTTAAATACGTGGTTTACCCATGAAAGTTGTTATCCCAAGAAAGAAAAAAAGTTTCACAGCAACTTAAAATCCTGAAAAAATGAAAAAAGTTTTTTTTGGGGTCTGAAGTTTAAACAAAAGTTAATGGATTTTTCTGTCCAATTTTGTAGAATTATAATGAATTTTAATTCATGTTCTACTACCATATTCATATATTTCAAAGCCTGAATTATCCTCAGAGGAATACAAAAAAAAATATTCATTATATAATTATATATATATATATATATATATATAATAGTTAAAGATTAGTGATAGCATCATATGGTACATAGTGATAATCAGAGTTTTGATTACTTTAAAAATTTGATAACATATTGAAAAAGAACTCCTCACATTTAAAGAATAGGCAAAATAAAGAAATAAATGTTTCTTCACATATAAAATAAAATGCTGAAAAATATGTACCCAATAAATTCGGCTAAAACTACCAAAATGGTTGAAAGATAACTGTTGCTCAATGAGAAAAAAGAACCTGCACAATTCTTTTCCAGAAATATATGTATCTCTTTACACTTTAAAAGGTGATTGTGACCAATTATTTACTCTACATGTTTTTGATTTTGTATGAAATAAAGAAGTGGTGTAAGATTGCCTATGAAACAAGTATTAAACTGTGTCCAAATGACGTGGATTCAAGCAATCATAGGTCAACAATGAGCAAAATCCAAACCATAAGTTAGCTATAAAAGGCCAAAATGTAAGACAATTCAAACAACAACAACAAAAAACTAACTGTCTGATTTATGACAAATCATAAAAAAAGCCCAGATTTCACAGACAGAAATCATGCTGATTATTTTTTTAAATATATATAATATATATGTTTGAAGATACAAAGTTGACAAATTGGAAGAAGGAAAAGGATTTGTAATAGATCTGAAGATAGATATATGTCTTCCAATGGATGCTGAAGTGTATTGCTTCCCAGATAATGGTCTTCAGGTTTTAAATCAGCATGAAATTCCAATTTGTTCCAGAAATTTCACCGGTTTGATTCCAGGTAAGCTGCAAGTACAGTAAAACCTGTATAAACTGGCAGGCTATGGGACTGTAAAAAAAAACGGTTTGAACAGTGGTTCAGTTTATTTAGATTTCGGTATGGTCAGGAAGTTTTGACTTGTCACATCAGATATTTTGCAAGGAAAAGTTCTGTCTCATTGTAAACTATAAATTAATAAACACAAATACCGTAATAATCTATTTATGAAAAGTTGTGTCTTGATTTGAGTGAAAATATTTTGACATGAACATAACACGAGTTCCCTGCATTTTCACCACTTTGTCATCTGGGTCTTCTCCATCTTCAGGGTCATTGGTTTAGGGGTTCACAACAGGGAACACAGCATTTAAAAACACTATGTCAATTTCTAACTCCGCGATTTTAAAATTGTTTCAATGTTACAACGTAAGTTCCAGCTGAGATATAGTCGGAGACAGTGCATTTAACTTCTTTCTTAATACTTAATAGGGTTTAAAAAAAACAGCTCACTACTTAAGTTCACCTTTAACACTTTGATTATTGGTTATCCTAATTTTGTTTTGATTGCACGTAACCTAATTCTGTTATCATGTTAAATTAATTAAGCAAACTAATTTCGACAGGTAATAGTTAATGTAATTAAGAGTATTTGGACTGCATAATTAGACCAGAATTCGGGTTCAAAGGGTCCGGAATACAGAGGGTATATTTGAAAAGACTTTGAAGGAAAAAAATGGGACTTCAATTTTGTCCAGAATGGACAGGAAACCATTTTATTCAGGGTCCGGTTTACCTAGATTTGACTATGAAGATTATTAAATTATGTTGATTGTTTCTTGTGAGTACATCTGGTCAAGCTCTAGCTGGGGAAAATCAATGCAAAATATATGAGAAAAGCTTAAATTGTTTAGATTTACTGGGTTAATAGTATGTATTTTTCTATTGCATTCTTAATATATTATTATGACCACATAACATTTTTTTAATTCATATATGAATTATATTTACAATCTATATTATTAATTATGACCTTTCATTGAGGAATTAAATTACCGGTTTTGTCAGCAAATAACCTGAAAATATACTGTTAAATCTTTATTCTAGCAGATAATTGTATTTGAATTTTGCATCAAATCTGATGCAACTGAAAGAAAATACTGCTAAATCATTAAACTAAAATCAGTAACACTACGGTGTGTGCACTAGCTGCATGATTTGAGACTATCAATCATTGATTTGCTGCACTAAGAATTATTTTCATTTTCGTTGATAATGAAATGTTCACATTTATTCTAACCTATAATCATGATAATTATTTACCAGTATTCAGAAGTAAAAGAACAACTTTTAACTTTTAATGCTACAATTTACTCATGCATGCGTAAATGTTATCAAGAAGTATATTCATTAATGATTACAGATTTCAATCCTAAGGAATGGTTAGAAGATGTAGACATTGATTTCACACAAGGTTTAAAAGATGCTGCAGTAAATTTTATCCTTGAACAGCTACAACTCTCAGATTTCTTTAGTGGTCCTAAATGTGATGTTGAAAGAGCCCCTTACAGACCAAGTGTTCAGGGATGGAATAATCGTGAGTTTTTTATGCCCCCTCAGTTATGTTCTCATAGATATTATCTCAATCAATTGCATGCAAAGACTCAGGTTTTTCCTGGCTTTGGTCTTGTTTATTTTATGCAAACTGACTTTGTGATAACATACACAAATTTTCATCAAGAATTGGTGTGTTTGTTCCATCATCAACAGCTCATTCTCAAACTTTATTTAAAAAACCCCATAAAATATGTATACATGGCTGGCTCAAACATAAATATATAGCAATCTACAAAACAGCAAATGCAATGTCAATGTCAAACATCATTAATTTTTTAATAAGAACAAAAACTGTCTTGATGAGGATGGGTGGTAGGGCTTAATATAAGAGAGGCAGTTGTACAGAGTAAACTACTCACCGTTAGGAAGTACTTTGAATGATTGCATTATTAATTAAGGTCTTTCCTTTTCCAAAAGGGAAAGACCTTACTGTATTTCTTCTGATTATTATTATTAAGGTCTTTCCTTTTTCAAAAGGGAAAGACCTTACTGTATTTCTTCTGTTTATTATTATTATTATTATTATTATTATTATTATTCTTTTTCCGCCAAAATTTGACGAAGTTAGCAGCCTTAACCATAAGACGTGTGGCTTTCATGTTCACACTTTGTATCGGTGTCATGAATACCTATCCGGAACTCACCCTTTGAGTCGAAAAAATTTTGTCGGTTCGGAGTAATCCCTCCGAAACCAAAAAACCTTGTTATCGTTCCAACACCGTAACCGTAATAGGTAGAAAAAAACCCAATGGTGAAATTTGTTCAGGACTTGACCCTGGTTCTTCGTTACATTTGGATCGAAAAGATTCAACGACTCATTGGTAGGGTTATGCCCCTATGAAAATTAACCGGTGTCGGTTGGCCACCAAAACTCAGAAACCGTAAGTCGTAGACACCTAGGATCTGCACCAATCATCATCAATTCATGTGACTTTGAAAAATTCCTCAAGGTCAAATTTGTATGTTGACCTTGACCTTTGACCTAACACCTTGTTATGGGATAATCTAAGAAACCTTAATACTTACAGTAGTGATGAATAGTGGAAAATGTTTGGGTCATGAATGCGCAACTTCGTTACATTTTGACCGAAGAGATTTGACCTTTCTGTAAGGGGCATAACCCCTGTTTAAGGTTTCTGAAAAGACAAAATCAGCTTTTACTATATAACCAAAGGTCCTAGACCCATGGGGTCTTCAGCAATGACATTGGTGACTAATGACCTTGAAAAAGGTCACAAGGTCAAAGGTCAAGGTCATGTCCCAGATAGCGAATTATGTGTTTCTGACCTTATTTAAAGGATTTTTAGTGTGTTTTAAAGGTTTTTAAGGTTGACCTTGACCTTTGACCTTTCAACTTTTTAGTCGATATCTCAAAAACGGTTAATCTTACAGAAATAGTAAACAGTGAAAAATGTTTAGGTGACTGAGGCACAACTTTTTTATATTTTTGTAACAAACCTAGGGTTGATATAACACTGTTTAACTCATTCAGGAGGAGTGGAATAATCTTTTAACTCAATGCCAGTGTGAAGAAACAGATTCGTAATAAACGTAACAATAAAATTTATTTCAGCAGTATTTTTGACTTGTTATTTCAATAACAACAAATACACATTCAGCATTCAACAGACAAAAACAATGCACCGGGTGGTCACTATAACTTAAGACTAATTATAACCTATGAACATTTGAGAAACACACTGGAAAATCACCTAAGTAAGGGTCTCTTTATCAATGGACAATAGAAATGACTTGTAAATCCCGTTCAGTAAAGAATGGCGGTTTAGCGCCAAAAATTTAATTTCGCTAAAAAGATTAATATCTAAATATAGATAAAAGTATTTAAATTATTGTTTGTACCTTTCTTATTTAACTTT